AACTAATAATCTGTTTTGCTTTACAATGGTCATCCCGTCCCCACCATCATCATCTTATAACCTAGACATTCTCAGTGTAGTGTCCAGAATCATCAGGCTAATGGTAGTGGTGCGCATCTATAATCCTAACACTCAGGGCCCTGAGGCAGGAGGATCAAGAGTTCAAAGTTAGCCTAAGCTACAAAGTCAGACCCTGTCTAGAAAGAAAGGAAATAAAAAAAAAAATACCAGAAGATGCCATTCCCTTTATCAAAATTCATTCAGTTATTTCCTGTTTCTTTCAAATTAAATCTCCAGGTCTTTGGTTTTACATAATTGGTTTTGACTATACTGGTGACATAGGAACACCCAATTCTTTATCTTTTGTTCAAATACTACTTTCTCAGTGAGTGTGAACTTACTGACTGCTGATAGCAGCAAGCTCCTCCTACTCGCTACTACCCTGCATTTCTTGGTCAATTGTCTTCTTTGCTCTGTAGCGCTCACCCACAGCACAGACACTGCATTTTTACTCAGTTGTTTCTTTCCACTATGACATAACCACCGTGGTGGTAAGGATACCTCTGCTCTGCTTGCAGAAGGCAATTCCAGGCACATAAGGATCAATTTGCATTACTGAATAGGCAGTGATCAGATTTAAATACATTTATTATGTAAACACAAGATGGAGTGCAAGTGGGACAAGGTGGAGTTTAAAATTTAAGATATATATATATATACACACACACACACACACATATATAATAGAATACATTAGTAGAAATGATTACATGAGAAAATTTGTTAATATAGAAGAAAAGAGAAAATGCACATGAACTATGACCTTAAGCAGACAAGAGGAGGACTGGACTCAGGTGGGAGCAAAGACTGTCCACCCACAAGCCCAGCAGAAATACAGGGACTATGGTGACGGGTGCAGGTGGGGTGTAAATTTCTGTTTCTCCTCTCATCTAACCTCCTTTCTGCATTAGCTGATAAGAGGAGAGACATTAGAGATACAAGACACTAAGAAGAATGTGAACCCATTCTCCAGAGTCAAAGAGGGAAAGCAGCAGGGCAGACCTGAACTGTAAGCCTATTGACAGTTGTCGTCATGAACTCATGTAGGAGCAGAGCACTTAGGACACTGAAGATGCTCCAGCACGTTTGGGTACATGGGCAAAGAGGTGCAGAGCTGGCTGCCAACAGGACTGGTGAGTTGTGGCAAATATGGATCAGTAAGGGGGATGAACAAGACTACCAATGTGGTCTGCAATAGAGGAATTATACCCAGAGGGCACGGGCTAAGAGGGCATGAGGTGTGAGAGTGAAGGAGGAATGCAGGGTGGGTACAGCCAGGGGCACCGGAAAAATGACCAGGTCGGGAAACTAGTCATTTCAGGGAGTTTGAAGAATTTTGGAGTTGGGCATATGCCATGCATGTAGGGAGCTATTGGTCAGATGGAATGCTGGAAAACTTGGGGTTCTAAAGCTGTAACAAGGAGGAAGAACAGACAGAGTGGATATATGGTACAGCCTCCAAAGGAAGTAGACAATTACGCATTAGATAGGGGAAGTAACGTGGAACAAGCGACAGGGGCTAAGAACGTCGCTTTCCTCCGCTGCAAGGCTCCATGGCAGGAGGGTTTGCAGCAGAAACATGACTGAGAGGAGCAAGACAGTGAAGGGGGTAACAGTGAAGGGGGGTAACAGTGAAGGGGGTAACAGTGAAGGGGGTAACAGTGAAGGGGGTAACAGTGAAGGGGGTAACAGTGAAGGGGGTAACAGTGAAGGGGGTATTCTGAGAGTCAGTAACACAGGGGCTGAGATCTCACCAGAAAAATACCAAGTGCTTCCACCTTTAAATATGCTAAATGATTTCCAGGGCTCCTATTAGTTTGTTGGGTTCTTTAACAATCTACAAACTAGGCAGCTTGAACCAAAAGAAATGTTACCTCATAGCTGTGGCTCTGAAATCAAGTGCAGCCATGTTTCCTTAGAAACGTGTCTAGAAACATCCTCTGTTGTGTCTTCTAGACCCCAAAGGCCACCAGCAGTCCCTGGTGTTCCTTTGGCTGGCAGATGTTGCACTCTGATCTCTGACTCCATTGTCATGCGGGGTTCACCCTGTGTGTCTCTGTCTCTGTTTTCTGAAGACACTAGCCACATTGGATTCAGGGCTCCACCCTCTTCCCCCTAAGACCTTATCTGAGCTAATCACATTTGCAACGCCTGCTTTCAAAGAAGGCCACTTCTGAGTATGTTGAAGGCGAGGACTTCAATGAATCTCCCTGAGAGCAGCAACTCAGCCCCCAATAGAGGTGGAGAAGAAGAATACATAGCTTTTCTGGGATGTGTTTGCATTTTAAGTCTCTCAAGTATTTGTTTGGCTCAGTAAATAAGACTTGAAATCCAAGTGTTTTATAAATTCTCATTACAAAGTGTATGACAGCCAGGCGGACAAAAGGAATGTGCACCACGGACATGAGTGAAAAGCCATGGGACACAGGGGGAGCTACTGATGTGGGATGATGGCTTCGAACCAACAGGGAGAGCCCACTGCTCCAAAGGGAAACACGGGCTTCTGGTTGCGCCCTACTGAAACGTCAAACCAGCTAAAGTTCTACAAGCCCACAGTTCTGAGTGGAGGAAAGCTTGAAATAACATGATGTTAAGACACTCATCAACATCTAATCTACATGGGAAGTAGAAAAAGACAAGATCTCCTGAGTAAATTGGGAGCTTGGGAGTGTGGGGATCATGGATGAGGGTAGAAGGGAAGTGGGGAGTGGGGAGGAAGGGAGGGAAGCAGAGAAAAATATATAGCTCAAAAAAAAAATTTAAAAAAAACCCACTTATCAGTAAGACAATGTCTTATGACATGCAGACAGAAAGGAAGGTGGGCGCGGGTTCTCCTTTGGGTTTTTAATCAAAACAAGGCACCACTCATTCCAGGTCTCAACCACCTAATTGTGGCTGAAACTCTACCCCACACTCTGTGCACATGTGTGGGTGCATACTATGGAGGCCAAAGGTCAACCTTAGACTACTTCTTGGTTGTGCTCTATTTTTTTTTTGTTTGTTTTTTGTTTTTCGAGACAGGGTTTCTCTGTGGCTTTGGAGCCTGTCCTGGAACTAGCTCTGTAGACCAGACCAGGCTGGCCTCGAACTCACAGAGATCCGCCTGCCTCTGCCTCCCGAGTGCTGGGATTAAAGGCGTGCGCCACCATCGCCTGGCGGTTGTGCTCTATCTTAACAGGATCTTGCTATTCTCCCCAAGCTCCCTGGTTTGGCCAGGTTGGTCGGCCAGTGAGGTTTGGGATGTGCCTTCCTGGTACTGAGATTACAAGTGTGTGTCTTCATCTCCTGCTTCTTACATGGGTTCTGGGACTCACATTCGGGTCCTCAGGCTTGCCTGGCAAGCACTTTACCATTGACACCCCCGACCCCCGCCAGCTCTTCTTGACTGTTACAGGAATAAGGGCTGCACATTTGGTAAGCTACAAGACCTCGGCTATTCAGCCTATTATTGCACAAAGTCCAGGTGCTGGGTGCTATACCTGCCCTGTGACCTCAGACTAGCCTGCATTTTGTACCTGCAGAGGGCTCAGGTAAGTTCCCCTTGGGATGCCAGATCTTGGTCAAAAACACTAATGGATAATTTCAATTCCTCACATCTAATGTGCTGGTAGGCACTCAACAATGCAAATAATTTGACTCTTGCCCATTCTGAATTGCAGGAGCCCAAATGCATGAGGTTCATCCTGCTGAGGGAAGTGATTTGACTCGACTCTTCTGACCTTGGCAGAGTGGAGCCGGCATTTCAGAAGGCAAGGTGAGGCTGTGGCTTATTACTTTGAAGGTAATGGCTTTCATGAAAGATGCAGAATCCAACTGTTTGATAGTATATCTAGCCTTTTCTCCTTCCTACACAGCTGGTAAGGAATGAAGTCCCTCACTCTATTACTCTAATTGAATTTCAACTTGGGTAATTATACTATAATTAAATAAATTTTCCCCATAGTTTTAATTCACTGACAAGTAGTGCTAGTCAAACGGCTTCATTTCATTCCCAGACACGCATCCCTACTACATTTCCGTGATAAGTGGAATGATTTATATGTGGAAGATGTGTGTGGAAAAACTGCACAGTTCATAAAATATTTTAGGTATCATTTATGATTACATATGCTTTGCTCAGCATGAGATAACATTAATTTCTATTATAATCTTTCATCTAATTTCTCATATGCTTAGTGCCAAAGGAAATAAGACAGTTAATTAGCATTTCTTGTTTTCAGACTTTTGCTGAGTTACTCAATGGCCTGTATCTACTTGTGTTGACCTTTCCCCTTGTGGCATGTTTTGTTGTCCTTAAGAGGCGGGCTGCATTAGGAGTTTCTGCTTTCCATTTTACAAATGAGACCATCGTGGTAGTATTCCCAGGGTTAGGGAGAGAGTTGTAGCAAACACCAGCTTCGGGGTCTCAGCTGCCTCAGGTCTCCTAGCTCAAGGTTCTTTTTCTCAAAAACCAACCAACATCAGGTCACTATTAATCACTTAGCTTTACAAGAAAAAAATGACAAGCAGTACATGTGTAATTCAGGCCATAGGTCACTGGTTTATAATAATTAATGATTTATCCAGGAGCAGGAGGCCTAATCACTAGGACCGGATGCTGTCCTTGGACCACAAGGCTGTGGGATTTTCTGAGTCTCAGGGTTAATAATACTCTGGGCTCCGCTGGGAGGGGGCTCAAATCGGTCGTCAAGTTATACAGAAGAATCTAGTTTTCAGTGTTCTTCCGAAGACTAACCTTGAAGATCTGAAGAAGGCTTGTGTGTGTGTGTGTGTGTGAGGGGAGGAGTCTTTTTTCCCCCATGGAGCTAGGATGCAAATACAGGAAAGGCCTTGTGCATGCTAGGAAAGCTATCAACTACCAGCCACATCTGTAGTCCAGGAGATGATAGTTAATAAAATACATCAATAAAAGATATGGAAGGCATTATCAAAATACTCACAAAAAGCAGCAGTAGCAGTGGTGTTACAACAATGCCCTGGAAGAAATGAAAGAACGGTCACTTGTTGGCCTAGGAAGCATACTCCCCCCTTCCCCCCTCCATTTTGGTGGGAACGCTGGTCATTTCACTGCTGTTTAACAAACTTAGAAGAGAAAGACGGCTCTCCCACCATCAGTTAATTCCGCCTTAATGGTTATTTCTATTAGACAACATTAAAGTCACAACCACCCAATTCTCCTTAAATTCACCTGTCCTCCATTCAGATCTAAATCCCCTTTCCTGTTTCAAACGTCCCACACGGGTGGAACCTGAAGGTTGGCAAATCTTCTCATCCAAGGCCTTCCGCTCTAGCTTGGGTAAAGTGTCCCTTTCTGAGAGAAGACAGGTGGTTCAGTCCCAGTTGGGGTCCTCTCCTGAGCAAAGACCATGTCGGCTGTGATGAATGAGGTGTCGTGATTTTGTAATGTGAACTGATCTCCCCTAGGAAATGAGCTGCGATCTCAAAACTCATTTCAGTTGATTAGACTCTGTCTCCATGGTGGAAGGGAAGTCTTTCATCTAATCCAGCCACACAGGACCACCTCCGTCCCTCTGCCTCCCCCAGGCAGAAATGAGCAAAAGATTTGTTTTCTTCCATGACAGGGAACAGTTTGAGGCTCTTGTCAGTGAGGGAGGATACAAGCATTTAGCTTGCTTTAAAGGTACGCTTTTGAGTTGGGAATCAACACGACAGGCTTCACTTGAGAGAGCAGACGATGATGTGTCTGAGTTCTTCCTCTATTTCTCAGCTTCATTGGGATTTACATAAGGAAAAGCACTTCATATTTTTAATAATGCACTGTGAGGCTTTGAAATTTCAGAGTCTGAATGTGTGTGTGCATGTGAGAAAGAAAAGGGGACAGAGAGACCAAGGGCTGTTGTTTTCACCCATAAACAGTCCCTTCTGTCTTTAGTCTTCGCTCTTACTCCACAGTTGTGAATATGGCATCAGAACGTACACTATGTGAACAATAATGGCAATGACTTTTTTAGATTATACTCATGTGAATATCCTCATATAGACTAGTTTACTATTGACTAACAGAATGGCTATTGTTTATTATGCAAACTTAAACAAGTGTCAAAAGGGAGCAAAGCATTTTAATCTAAGGGTCATGCTGTTAATCTCTGCATTAAAACACATATTATGGCTTGTGAATTACATGGTTTTCTATGAAGCAGGTCTCACTAGCATATTTTGGAGGGCTAGATGTGCCAAGCCAAAATAATTTTAACGTAGAAAGGCTACTGCCCAAGGCTGAGGGTGGACTGCAAAGGTAGGATACTTAGCCTTGCAGGCAACAAGGCTCTGATAATAATAATAATAACACAGAATAAAGACGACTACTATATTTTATTCTTACATTTATTTTGTGTGTGCACGTGCACACACCTACTACAAGGCATGTGTGAAGGTCAGAAGACAAGTAATAGAAGCCCATTCTCTTCTTCCTCCATGTAGGTTCTGGAGTCGAATTCAGGCCACAAAGCTGTTGCAGCAGTGCCTTACCTACTAAGCTATCTCCCAGGCCTGAAAGGCTACTTCGTTTCAGTGATTTGGAATATGTTTAGGATTTGGGTGGAGTTCCAAGCTTTACAAAGTAATGTAAAAGTGAGCCACTCAGCGCTGCACAGCAGTATTTTTTTTTTTATTTTTATTTTTTTTGGTTTTTTGAGACAGGGTTTCTCTGCGGTTTTGGAGCCTGTCCTGGAACTAGCTCTTGTAGACCAGGCTGGTCTTGAACTCACAGAGATCCGCCTGCCTCTGCCTCCCGAATGCTGGGATTAAAGGCGTACGCAACCACCGCCCGGCCAAAGCAGTGTTTAGAAATGTTTATCAGACACTCACGCACCCGCTCTGCTCCTTCATGGCCGGTCAAGGGTGAATCCAACATGGCTCCTATACTTGAATAGCTAATAGCCTAGTTGGGCACGGTCTAGGGACAAGTTCAGTAGAGTGAGCTGTAAAGCTAAATATTCTGATGTGAGAGACGAGACATAGAGTGAAGAAGAGGGTGATTGTTTACCTTCGGGGCATTTTATGGTAGAAGAGATACTGAGGTTGGAAAATTAATGGGAAGTGATCTGGTAGGAAAAAGGGCTAGCTCAGGAAGGGGAGGTTGAGCAGAGAAGCACAGAAACATGTGAACAGGGCACACACAGACCAGTTCACCAAGGCCTCTGAGGCCTGCTGCCCTACGTGCAACAGCAAGCTACCCAGGTATAATAAGTTAATAGTTTAGCACATGGAATGAGGATTTGAATTGGCTTAGAACCTAACTAGTTTTTATCTTTGTCCATTTATTCACCTCAAGGCCAACAAAATACAACAGAAGCTTGCATTAATTGTTTTGTCACCAGCTTAGTAGCACTGCTGAGAAACACGCATGACATGTGATGGGATAAGAAATTTTTATGTAGGAGAAAGGTGGAGCACGTCATTCAGGTGACGTGTGTCTTGTACTAGAGTTGACAGCCTCCTGATTATCACACATCACACTACTCTTCCTTAACCAGATGCCAACAGGATCAGTAAGAATGAGTCCTACAATGCTATTTTGTTTGTAGCACATTCATGTATGTTTTCAAACTGACCCTCCCCTATGCAGTTACACTGTAGCTCTCCTCTCCACACAGGGAAAGAAGGTTCTGAAAAGCTAAGCAGCTCAAATCAAGGTCACATTGCAAAGATGGCGGAAGTTCGGCATGAGCCAGCATCATCCAATTCTACACTCACTGGTCACCTGAGAGCAGATTCACCACGAGCATCCCTTTTTGTGGAACTCCACCCATGTGGAAGAGTTGCTGAGGGCCTCTCAGATATGACCTCATCCCGGAAGGCAGAGAACAGTTATCTGCAGGGTTCTCTGGGCAGATATTTCAAACACGCAGTAACCTATACAATAACTTCTTTTCTGTTCTACCAAGAACTAACAACATTTAGTCCTGAGATATTAAAAATTTGCTGGATAGGATACACTTTGTAATTCAAGTTTAAATATTCCTCATTATTTTTTAATAAGTGTGGTTCAACTTCATTAACTACAACTGGATTATTAGGCAATGCTGAACCCTCTTTTTCAGTTTTATTAGGAACTGAGTCATCTCCAATGCCATCGGCTGTGATATGAGCACTATTAAGTTTGGGTGAAGTCATCTAATTTATTACTAAATGTATAACAGCCCATATTTAGTAAGTACTCATGTCAGATATTGTGCTAAGGACTTTATGTCTACTATTGTATGAAATCCTCACAACCACCCTATGAGCTCTGCACCAGAATTATCCTCACATGCAAGGTAAGGGGCTGAACCCTAGACAAGGCGAGGAAAGCGTGGAGGACACTTGATTCCCTAACTTTAGAACCCAGACTTTCGAATGATGACCATACTGTCTTCAGGGGCCCGAAAGAGGGTTCAGGGTAAGGTGTTCGCTGTTTGATGACGCAGGTCACATGGACATGATGACGCATGCCTGGAACATACAAAGGTAGAGGGAGACAACTGACTCCAAGGAAGTTGTCCTGACTTCCTAGTGTTCACCGTGGCAAGTCCACCTCCCCCATCTCTTGCTCACACACAATCATAAATATATTAAATTAAAAATCTTTATAGTAAATATTAAGCCATTTCTTTGGAGTTCTATTTTAAGGGTTAAATCAGAGAGGAACTCAGTGTGTCTTTTGATGACATGAACTGAACTATAAAGTGAGCCACTGTGTGGTGTGGCTAATACAGCCCTTAAAGCTCAGGTTCTGCAAATATCAGTGGTAACAGCGGGGAGTGTGTGCATTCAAAATACGATAGCAATGAAGACTAAAAGCTAGAAAGTCATATAAACATGGGTTTACAAGAGTCTCACTTTAATTTTTTCTCCTTTCTCTTTCCGAAATAACTCCTCTACTGTGGAAAGTCAAAGCACTTCCAACAGAAGACCTGTTTGAAGGGTCAAGTTTAAGCCACCCACCCGTCTCTTGCAGCTGTTGTCATGTAAAGCCTCTGCTACAACATCTAGAGAACTCAAGCTATGGAAGTGATGGCTCTCACTGTCTCCTGGAAGACTTCCCGAACAGCCATTTACCCTGGTGATGTGAGTCATTGAGTCAACATATGCTGATGACCACAGTGGAAAGGGAAGAGGGTTGAAGGCGTAAGTCACAAACAATGCCACACCTCTTTGGAATTATGATTAATAGGGTGGTATTTATTTAAAGGGGAAAAAAACTTACAGATAACCGTCCCAGACAACAGCCCCTGAGCAATCAGGAAGAAGTATAGTCGCCGGAACTGGAGCAGGAAGCAAAGAGCCCAAGAAGGGAAGTAGCCGCTTTTTTAAACGGAGAGAGACCACGCCCCAATGGGCTGGTATCTCAGCGGCTATTGGCTGGAGGAGTGGAAGGACCTCCCGCAACAGAGGGTATTAAGTCTGATGCTGTCATCCAGCCACTCGCCAATGAACAAGGAAACATGGGAAAAGCAAGAGAATTGCAACATGCCTCTCTCAGCAATGGGACTCATTCATAAAAAGCAAAACTGAAGTGAACTTCTCATCCTATTTTTTAACAGAAAAACTTATGAAGAGGTTTTACTGTAACAGCTACAGTGATCTTACAGTTACTGATGTCTGAGGCCAGTCCCTAGTCCCCTACTTCATAACTTGACTACACAGAATGACAGGAAGTCAGCTTTGCAAAAGACTTTGGGACCACTTGGTCTAGTCCTTACAAGAAATGTGAGGGGGGTGGCTGTGTCGTGGCCAAGGAACCTCCAATCCCAGATAGCACTTGCTCTTCCCAATCAATGGCCCTGACTAAATGTCCAACATGAGGGAAAACACTTCCTTTTTTATTCTTTTTTTTAGTTTTTCAAGACAGGATTTCTTGATATAACAGCCCCAGCTGTTCCGGAACTCATTCTGTAGTCCAGGCTGGCCTCAAAGTCACAGAGATCCACCTGCCTCTGCCTTCTGAGTTCTGGGATTAAAGGTGTGCACCATT